CTAATCATCTAAATGACTATTTTCAAAATCACCCCCTCGAGTACAAAGGTCTACTATTATTTCAATATTTGCTAGAAGTTTTCTGTCATTTCAAACACATCACGCCACGTTACAAAGGCCTTTCATGCTGAAATATCAAAGGGTTATTCTTCAAGGAGGTTAAATCTATGTTATCTTATATCGAATTCTCAAGAAAATATAAACATTGTAAACAAAATTAAACTGTGTGTGTCAAAAAACAATTTTTACTAAGTCAATAAAATTTCCACAAAACAATATCTATTTCGTTTCCTAAGAAATGTATCCTGAATATGTTCTTGAATCAATTTGTATTCATATCCATCTATTGGAAACCAAAGTGTTAAGTGAACAGTGAACAAATTACCTGAAATTTTTTTTTCATTGCTGCAATTTTACAGTTAAAACATTCAAACTAAAAAGAGCAATGCAACCGTGGTGGAAAGCATTATCATTTCATTACTGTCACATGACTTGTGTTGGGAAAGAAAGGTTTCGCCTTTCTACTTCTTCATCGATGTTTAACAGAAAAACATGGATGTCCAGTCCGCGAAAATCGGCACATCAATGTTACACAAAAACAATATTTTGGATTTGATTTTACTGTATTACCACTATTTTGTATTTCGACTTTTAATATTCAGACCGCGATATTACTGTGAATATATCGCGAACATCCCGTATACTTAATTCCGTCAAAAACAGTCGCTCGAATACTCAACACGCTGCCAAAGTAGTGCATGAGAGGGCTGTTGCTGTTAAAATGCTGAAATTCTCAAGTTTGAAATATTTGCTCTCTCTCTCTAGTAACCAAAATCACGCAAAAGGACAACATCCCAATACATGTCACAGGAAATACAGTCCACGTATATACTCAATATAATTTTGGTCCTTCGAGCCGGATACTCGTGATCCGAGTTTGAACGCTGTTTTTGCGAATTTGAGTGGTATTGTTGTTCATTTGTGAATATATATTGTATCTATTTATATATTGACCTGCCATAAATGAATTTATGTATGTAACATGGTGAAAATATATCTACCTATCTCTCTATCTATATCGCGCACCTCCTGTTTGAATCTGTTTGAAAATCTGTTTTTCCGTTAACCAGCTGTCGCACCCCTATGAACAATAACCCTCAAAAGTCGAAACTTGTGCGAGCTAAGGATTAACGAGGTCTTACCTTTTAACGTGTGATTCCTAACACGGATTGGACGATAGCAAGTGAAAATCGATTGTTCAGACTAGGGCTTGAACCACCGACTAACACGGCAGTCAATTCGAGTGAGTGAACAAAGCACCCACGTCGAACCGCCTGGCTACCGAATGACCCACCTGTATTACTTAATTCTGTCAAAATCGGTCGGGATTGCGAGAGAAGAAACAGTCGCTCGAATACTCAACAAACTCACCAAGTAAAGCATGAGAGGGCTATTGCTGTTGAAATGCTGAAACTCTCAAGATAAGCACAGTTCAATTCAATTTGAAATATTTGCTCTCTCTCTCTCTCTATTAACCAAAATCACGCAAAAAGACAAGGTTCAAATTCATGTCACAGGAAATACAGTCCACGTACATTGATACTCGACATAATTTTGGTCCTTCGAGCCGGATACTCGTGATCCGAGTTTGAACGCAGTTTTTGCTTTCAGATTACACAAAAAAGTGGGATTGGGATTGTTAATATTGCTAAAAAAATGTATTCCCAGTGAATACATTTGATTACAGGCATTGATGTCTTCCTTTCCATTTTTATCGTACTCCGATACTTTTGGATTGATGTCTTACTTACTTACTTGTCTTATCGCCTCTTCAGAGATAAAGCACCCAAATAATTTCATTAAATTATGACTAAAACAGTGCTTGCTCAAGTTAGATGAGTGCAGTAGGGTTTTTAGTTAAGAGGATTTTCATATTGGGAAAGTTAATACACAATGAAGTATTTAGATTCACCATTTTTCTTGCAGTTCATGATAAAAGAAAATGCCGTCCAAACATCTCATACGAAACTTCAACAAGAAATCAAATGTCGCTGCCAATTGATCAAACGAGAGTAACAATTGAAAACTACCACATTTTTTCTCATCTTACACGAGTAGTTCGCTCATCGACAGTCAAACATTGCTTCCAATCGTACCGAAACAAATTTGCTACCGACAATAAATACGCCTGATGTTTCTTACGATTTGGGAAACATCGACAAGATTGCTGCGCAGATTTTCTGAGGATTCGTCTCGTCGGGATACATCTGCATGGCCTGGGTTACTTGCTCCTCGGGGAAGATAGCTGCCAAGTGGTAGTGAAGTTTCCTGCGGGCGTCTTCTTGGACGGGCGAGCTGGCCAGATGGTGGGAACCGCCTTGAGACCAAGCTGGAGGCCATACGTTCAGCTGAGTGTCGGAACAACTCGATATTCTCTGCATGTGTCTGAAAAAACACCTGACTGAGAAAATCTGTGGTGCAATGAAAAAGGAGTACAACTGAATCACGAGAAATCATTTAAATGCTTCTCTTTTTATAATCTCTTTCAATTAAATAATATTAACAATTGTTATGGTGTTATGTTAGATCTTTTATTTTCAAACGAACTTAATGACTGTATTGCAGAAGGGTCTAGTTGCTGTTTGTTGCCATGTGATACCCACCATCCAGCGCTAGCAATAACAATATCAAATCCTAATGATTTTAAAGAGCTAGAATATGAAGATTTTCTTTTTGACTTCAAAAGTGCGAATTATGTTGGCTTAAATTACTATCTAGCTGGCATTGATTGGGACTCTTATCTTGGCAACATAATGTATTTGTTTCGAAAGAATCTTTTCTTTCGTATAATTCAATGTTTATATGAAAGTAGCTGTTTCAGGAGGACTTTCTTTCAGTTTGTGTCTGAAACTTACATCTTTGTATGATCTACACATCCATGTATACGAGTTACTTCCTTCCTTTCTTTGGAAGACTCTCTAATTTTTTTTTTGTATGAAGATGGAGTAGTAGAAAACCAAAAACTTTCTTTCCCAAAAATTAATCACTCCTAAAAAATATAACCCCATCAATTTTAATAAATGTGTTTTCAATTTGTTTCTCCAAGTGAGAATTCACAAAGAATGGTTCAATTACTTTTGTTTTTCTTTAACGATACTGCACACTATGATTTGAATATTTGCTCTTTTATATAAATACGGACAGGCCTCAATTTAAACAAGTAGAGATATTTTGGAGTGAAGCTCGGGTCTGTTACTCAAAAATAGTGAAAATTACATTGTATCCTGCCGAAGAGTTGAAGATCGAACTCACCTGTGCTGAGGATGCTGGTGAGGAGGCCAGGGCCTGTAACTGTAAGAATCCGGAGCGGAAGCGATCCTCGTTACGTGCTGGTGCATATCCCAACCCGGATGCCCCATATAAGGAGTGGGAGAAGCCAATGCCATCTGACTACCTTGATTGCTGGAGATCTGAGGGGCGCCGTACCGCATCGATAATCTAGGATCCGCGCCCGGATTCAACGTGAGCTGCCTTTGCAATTTCCTGTGGAGGTTCTCTTGCGGCTGCACGGGCTGATAGGAACTGCCGACATTATCGACGCTGCGACTCTTGGAGACTATGGCGTGCTGAGGTTCTTTCGGTGGTGGTACGTTCGATCTGGTTCTTCCCAGGGGAGTTTTTCTAACGTCACCTTCCCGAGCCTTCAAAATGAACTTTGATTTACAAACACATCGAATCACTGCCAATTATTGTACTATAAACACAGATATTTATGTTTGGACTGTTTGAACTAAGCTAGTCTGTTTCAATACAGTATTAATAAATGAAGTGATAGGTAGAAAACATTTCAAAACAGATTGACTCCTCAAACTTTGAGGAGTGCCTAGCAATAGCAGATCATGATTTGCTATTAGAAAAATTATATCTGTACGGCATAAGAGGTAAAAATAGAAGACAGTCAGTGTGCTTCAATGGTATCACGTCAGAAACACTAGCAATGAGATATGGGGTACCGCAGAGTTCTGTTCTGGGGCCCCTCCTATTTATCATTTACGTAAATGACTTATTTTATCATTTAGTCGATTCAACCTGTATCATGTTCGCAGATGACACCAATATCTTTCATCAAAATATAAACCAGAAAATAATAAATGAAGCTACTGAAAAAAATGCCGAATGCTGGTTTGCAGCAAACAGTTTAAAACTAAANGCAATTATAATCGCTTGTGGGACACCATAATTTACAAATAAAAATGTTTCAAACTTCAACTGAATTGTCTCCTGAATGTTTCCCTGCGGACCGGTTCAGCCTTGTTATTTTCGATGACTCGTTCTGCGTATTACGAAGCTACAGTAATAATTCACGCTCTACCTGTCATTTGTTGTAAATAAAATATGCCACGAATCTCATGTAATGCGATATATTATTTGTAGAGGTTGGCCGTGTTACACTGGACAAAATTACGTGACTTTAATGAAAACGACAAATAGCTGGTTTTTCAGCGCGTCCACTTCTTCACAATACATCGGTCGGTTCGTGTAATCAAGTTTGATGAAGATATTTATTCTGAAAGAGTAACAGGTGAAGCCCGCTTACAGGTTTCGTTTTTATTTTCATAAATGAATTCAAAATAATGCTAGAAATGCAAGAAATATCTAACATCTGGCAGTTTTCTCGACGGATGAATGTTGAAAATGCAGTTCTAACTGCATTGAGATGTTCAATTATTCGGAAAAAGTGCTTCTACTTTGAATTATCATGAATTGGCAAGAATTTATTCTGTTGAGTCGGTAATGTTTATATACAATGTTTGTAAGAATTTATTCTGAAACAGCTGATGAAGTAGCAGTAGAATGTAAACAATGAATAATGTTTGTGAAAACGAGCAGTACAGGATTTACGTACAGGTTATAGCTCAGGACCCCCCATTTTCTTAGAGACTCCCGACCCTAGCAATACCCGGCTTTTGGAGAGCCACATCTCCGCTGACGATTCATTCCTGGTCGGAGCTCATTATCAGCGATATCTTCAAACAGTTTAGAGCCTTATCAACTCCAAATTCGTCACTCAGTATCATCATCATTTGCTCTATATATGCGGATGACGCAATGGCAGAAAAATGCCAAGTCGTTTTCCGATAATTGCATAGTGCTGATCAGTTATTTCTCAAAGTGGAAAAAACAGAATTTATGAGGTTTCACATTCATCCAAGACGATGTGAGGATATTGTGTTTGGATCTGACAACTCGAAATATGTTTCTATTTTTTCGGAAAGAGGGGGTTTTGAATTTCTTCTTCTCCATAGATGACTTTAATGATTTCTCAGTACGAGCAGCACTGGATTTACGTACAAGTTATAGCTTAGGATCCCCATTTTCTTAAAGGCTCCTGACTCTACCTATCCCTTGCTTCTGGAGAGCCACCTGCCCTCTAACGATTCATTCTTGGCCCTGGAGTTTTCAGCCCAGGTGTTACGTTTATACCTTTTGGGACAAATTGGTTTTGGATTTCTACTTCTCCATAGATGACTTCGATTATTTCTCAGTAGGAACAGTATAGGATTTAAATACAAGTTATAGCTTGGAACCTCCATTTCTCGCGAGTAAAATACTATGATTTTTTATGATAATTGAAAATAATTGAAAGTCAACAATGAAATAATGAATTTGCTCATCTGTGATTAGTCCCAGGGTAGTGAGTAATGAATCTGGTCAATTGTGATTAGTTTGACGAGACGGGGCGAGTAATAGATAACTTCGCCTATTTACTCAACAAGGAACGGTAAAAATGATATTTTTTCATCAATTTTAGAAAAAGTTAGTTCACTCCACATGACAGAAATCATGTATATCTCTCAGAATCAACCAACCCTAAGAAAAATCGAATAAATCTTCGACCGGCTTATACGAACAATCTTATGATGTGAGGAGAACTTGAATCATGGTGAATTATATGATTTTCGCAAAGAATATCATTGAAATCAAGTTGGCTACCGGTCGTAAACGTTTCAAAATGAATCTCTAATAACTAGGAGGATGTTGAAATTTATACGGTCGATTTTCTTAATTATATGCTTAATTGACTCCGCGGAAATTTACAACCACCAGTCAGGCAAGGCTGTCTCGGTTCATTCGCGTTTAATTGCAAACTACGAACGGAAGTTGATTTATTGGGTGATCGGTAGCTGGTTCACATTTTTTTTATTTTGATTTGCGCATGCTCATTATTGATAATCCATCTTATTTCTTCAATGGAACAGTGCGAGTCGCCACAATTTTCAGATGGCATTCTTAAGCTCCAAGAGCTCAAAAAAGATCGAGGTTTACGGTCTAGTTCATGCATCAAAATCCTTCTATTGCTATTGTGAAAACGCTGAAAGATTAACAGTCGGTAAAATTGATAAAACATTATTCATTCATGAACGTTTTCTGTTTATAAATTCAGTCCCAGTTTTTTAAAGACGGAGTTGTTTTTTATTTAATGGTTGATGATTGTACTCAGATAATTAATGATCTCAGGGAAAAGGGTAGAAACAAAAATTGGACACTCCATTATCATCCTTCGATTTCAATAACTATTTTTGCATGATAGGAGAAAAATTAACTGAAAATATTCACATTCCGTATGATCCAGTTGATAATTTAATTGATATTGGTATAGCAGATAATTTTATTCTATGTGACACAAACCTTTCAGAATTGAAAGGAGTATTTAGGGAGATGAAAAATAAACACACTTCAGGAATTGACGACATCTCCTTGAATATTTTCGAAAATCTACCAGACAATGCTTTATCAGTACTAGTTGACTAGGGGGGCATTAAAGAAATGCACTGTATAACCGTTAATAATAGACATTACAATGTATGCAGTATATTAAATATATTTTTTACTGTTTTTTTTATCAATCTTTTGTTTTCCTGTCACAAAATTTACTGCTGAGCATGAAAGTGACCTAGCAACACTAGCCGTTTTAGTATGGCCGAACTTCGTGCTTGAGATACACAGTATAAAATAGTTGGTATAACTCAGTTGATAAATTAACACACCTATTAATTCTAAGGAACTCTAGATGGATTGATGAGACAAAGCTGTAGCAATGTAGCATCTGTTGCCTGTTTTATATTTGCTCTAAAGTAATCTTTTCAAAGATAAACTTCGTTAAAAGTACATGTTCTCTTCATTACTAGACGTACTGCAGCCCGACATTCTGTATGACATTATTATTTCGAACGATTTTTTCTGAAAATGAATTCAATCAGGAGTAAATTGAATTGCATTCTTTCCAGTACAGTCATTACTCGAACCGAGCATTATTGAACCAGTAATCCGACCGTGCGAACCAGCACATCGCAGAGCGATGGTCATCCGAATGAAGCCCATAATAAATAATTATTTATATGAAGCTGGCTTTGTGCAGATATGAAATCGAGTTCCAGGTGGACGATCAAGAAGATGTGACCAGTTATGCGCTTCCCATTTAAATTAGTTTCATTAAGCGTATGACTGCGTTCACCTTATCATTTTGTTCTGCAGTTCTTTTGATAACAGATGTTTTTCAATGTGAGATTTCCAGTGATCTGTTTATTTATTATTGAAATTGAATTATTAAAGTGGGTCTTATCGGGTTTGATGAACTAACCCACTAATGAATCAGTTCGTCAAACCGGATCTATTCAAGTCTTCTAGCATTTCTGATGAAAGCTTTATTATTATTATTACTTTAATTATCGACTGATACCAAGCAATTCGTTGTCTGAATCCACATGGAAAAATCATATGTCAAATCATAGTCTCTTTCTTGAAATGTACAAATGAATGTAGGTTTGTAAGTATGATACTTACGTTTCTTGAGAATACGCTTCACAGAGGTTTTTTTTATGCCGGTATAATCACTAATTTCTTGGGTGGACCTTCTAGGATTTTCAACTACTACTTGCTACGAAACCAGCTACGTCAAGCTAGTTTTCTTCTGTGCATACAGGTTTCGTATTATGTTTATATTCTAGTGAGCCGGTCTGTTTGAAATTCTTTAAAATTCTACTTACACTTGAATAGCAAATTTGTTTGGATGCCGCTCGTTGAAAATATTTGCAGCTTCGCGCATTGTTTTATAACCATCACCACAGATTTTTCATTTTAAGGAGGCCCTAGACTGTCAATCATTTTCATCAAAAGCTTGAGTCAATCGATTGACTCAAGCGTGATTGACCGTGCAGGAACCTGTTTGAGGCTTCAAGTGAGGTTTGATGGTGATTGATAGAAAGTTTGAATGACTCAAGCGGTTGAAGAAGGGGGTTGACCGTCTAGGGCAATTTTCGTCAGTCACTATGTGGAAATCATGACGTCCGCTACGGAAAATGAGCTTCCCGAAAACTCTGAGCGGAAATTCATTAATCTGTTCATTGAATTATATCGCGATTGTCCAGAATTATGAAAGGTGAAGAGCAAGGACTATTACAACATAAACAAGAAACGTCGTTTCTTTTTTTGTTGTTTTTTCCGCTTGAAGGAAACCAATGTGAGGGAGAGGAAGGCCAAATCCGTGTTTGAAACCATTGCTCACCGAAATGAACCACCAGCGAATGAACAAGAAGTGTGCACTGTTCACATTTCTGGTGAGAATAAGGTTTTGATCAAAAGATTGAAGAGCTGATTGCAGTTGATCGTTTAGGGCCACCTTAATAACTAGTATAAAAAGT